GTCATAAGCAAGGGTACAGAAGGGCATAGAGCATATCTGTGTTTCAGTTTAAAAAATATTTTAAGTAGAGCCGGGCGGTGGTGGCGCACGCCTTTAATCCCAGCACTCGGGAGGCAGAGCCAGGCGGATCTCTGTGAGTTCGAGGCCAGCCTGGACTACCAAGTGAGTTCCAGGAAAGGCGCAAAGCTACACAGAGAAACCCTGTCTCGAAAAACCAAAAAAAAAAAAAAAATATTTTAAGTAGGTAGAATAATCTTCCTACTTATCATAGAGTTATTTTGAGGACAAAATGGGATCATGACATGCATTTCAAAGGAAATGATGACTGAAATTTAAATTATGAAGTATTACAACTGTTTAGTTGTTAGACACATGCAGCTTTAAAACTGGCTAAGATATGAAATGAAACATCCTCTCTTAGTGAAAAGAAAAAAAACTCTGTGATTGTCTTTAAGATTATGGACGTTCTTTAAAATTTTGCTCATATAATTGACATTCACTGGTAATTCTCATAGCACTAGAAGAAATATTCATGGTAGAGAAGTTGTGGGTAGACAAATCACAGGTTATAGATTACTGGAAGTAAAGATATGAGAGAATGAAGTAAAATGAGACTGAGTAGGAAGGGAAGCCAAAAGCTTAGGAAGCTCCTCTGTGGGTTCTATATGTATAATTTAAAAGGTAAATCTGACTCTTAACAATCTTTTTTTGCACCCCATTTTGCTATGATCCCTGAGGCATAGATATGGGAGTTGTAACTGTTATCATCTGGGATTGGGTATCACATGGCCACTTGCTCTCTGGAGATTTAGGTGTATCTGTAATTATTTACATTAGAATATTTATGGAAGGTTACATAAGAAAATGGTATAAATGCTTTCCCTGATTGGTTAGAGAAATAAAGGACATTTTTAATGTAAAAAAATAATTCTGGGGCTATCACACAACAATTTCTAGTGGAAATAATTTAGGATAGTTATCCCATCCAGACTAGCTACTGCTATGAATCTATCAGGTTTATTTATCCAAGAGTTACTTCCATCTAGAATTCAGAAAGCCTAATGTTGTGGGCTCCTACTTCATCTCCCGACTCTTAATACTTGAATACAAACAAAATGTCAGCTAAGTAATTGTAGGCTTCTCCTTCTGAGCATCAATAGCATGTTTAAATTTAAAAAGATTAAAACGTAGTTCATTATTTGCCATTGTAATATGGAAGCAGAATCTGAAATCCAAAAAGAGCGAGCATCTTTTTGAAGCTGGATTCTAGATTTCCATAATGTAGTGTAATTACACATTTTGGAGACACAAAACACTTTTTTTTTTTTTTTTGGTTTTTCGAGACAGGGTTTCTCTGTGTAGCTTTGTGCCTTTCCTGGAACTCACTTGGTAGCCTAGGCTGGCCTCGAACTCACAGAGATCCACCTGGCTCTGCCTCCCGAGTGCTGGGATTAAAGGCGTGCGCCACCACCGCCCGGCTAACACTCTTATTTTTGATGACGCATTTTTACATGAAAAATACCTTATAGTAATACAGTATTTCAAACACACATTTTGTCATTTGAAAAAAAATCTCACTGCTGGATTTCACAACAGAGAAGCTCAGGGAGTAGCCTTTTGAATTTTTTAAATATTAAAAATTACTGAATATGCTTTACATTTAGTAATTTGGATGTGCCTTTTGTTTTGTTTTGTTTTGTTTTGTTGTGTAGTAAGCCTACACTTTCCTGATATCTAATCATTTCTTGGCAACTCCTTTTTATGGCAAACCAGATTCTTCAACAAAGCATGTTGGTTTATAGCCACATCTATGATTAGGTTACATAATAAATTTCAAAGGTACAGTTAAATTTTTACCTCTAATATTTTTGGATTACTGATATTGAGAATCAGTACACTTTCTTGGAATATATTTCACAATTAACTACAGGATCATTGATGACTCAAAAAACTGTAATTGTCACCAAAGACCCAAGAAAATTATGAATAAATATATCATAGAATACAAGTTGTGTAAAAATTTTGGAATATCACAAGAATTTTGCCCTTCATAATCCTTGATTAAATTGTCACAGTTATCTATATATCAAACATGTAAAAAAGTATATGAAACAAGGCATATTAGAGGAAAGATGATTTTGATGAGATGTTTGAACACATAATGCCAAAGAACCAGTACACTTTCTCAGATGTAAAATAATGTTCCCAGACAACGTAGAAAACATATTACTCACTCTAACAGCAGTATAGAAATGCCCATATTTGTGGTTAGGTTTATTTAGCCACCAAACTATAAGAATTCAAACCAGACACGGTAACACACACCTAAAATCCTAGCATTTAGGAAGTGGAAATAGGAAGATGAAATGTTCAAAGCCAGCCTATGCTACATGACATTTTCAAAGGACATCTTAGATTACATGAAACCACACCACACCACACAAACAAACAAACCTAAAACAAAAGGCATAATACAATTTTCTACCTTTTTAAACTGCAGTAAAGAAGTTATTATAACTTAATCATCAATGCTTTATGAAATGTAGCAAAAATAATTCAGGTAGCTGATGTAGAGGGAACCATGCTAGCATGGTCCTTGGCAAGACAAATGCCTTATCTATTCAGTATTTACATTTGACTTCCAGTGTTGCTTTCTTCTTTCAGGATACTTGTGTCCATGGAAAGAGAAGAACTGTTAAGGAGTGGAGCCAGAGAAAAGTAGGAAGAGTAAAAAACATGCCTAATTTCAGAGATGAAATTACCATGAAGCCAATGAAGGTTAAGTCTTAGAGCCCCTCTCTTGAACAGGACACTTTCAAGGCCCTGAGAATATTTTGTGTGTAATATTTGAGAAGTTTAAAAATTCATGATTTGTTGTGATTTTTCTTATTATGAATATTCAATTTGTGTGTAATTTATATCTTTTGTAAAGAGGGACCACCAAACTGTGTAATGTTCAGGCTCTTGAAAACCTATATCCTTCCTTGTTACATGTGCTTCATCAATAGTTATTATAATTTGATTTTAATATCCTTCAGAGTCCTATCATCCTCTTCTAAATGCTAATAAAAAACACCCTTATCTATAGAACAAACATTTTAATTAAATCACCAAAATCCATTTCCATGCTGGGAATTAATCACTAAACAGAATACACATAATAATCTGTTTGAGAGGGTCATTATGGTAAGAAACAAGTTTACAGAAGTGTAAGTGACCTCTGTTGTTATTAGCAAATCCTATATTTTTTATATGTGAATAGCAAGAGTTAGAGAAGAAGTATTACTTGCTCAGGTTCACATCTGGGTAAGTATTGGCAAAGTATGAATTAAAATGAGTGACTCATACATTGACTGTTATTCATATTGCTTTAAATTCTTTGTTTCTGAGTTTAAAAACTTTATTTACTAACATGTTTTGGTTCACATATTTTACACAATAAAATTAAAATTTTATATGACTGATATATAAATTGTCAACCAATTTTGTATATCACCAACAGCAGATACTGCCATGCTCACTTTCATGCAGTTAGTATATTAGCATCACTGACTCAACTGAATAAGACAACGTCTATTTAAGCAATCCATTCAATTTTTAAGTCACTGACTATTTCAGCATAAATAATTCTAAATCAACAATCTTTACCTTCTTCCTTTCATTAATTCATCAAGATAAAATTAGATTTTTCCCAGAAATGTAACAGTAATTTCATTGTGAAAATTTAGATAGTAACTATTAGGAAAGGAAATATTCCTAAAAATATTTGCAAATCATAACTGAAAAGTTTCTACAGTAAATCACTCATTCTGTGTGAAGAGATCTCAATGTACTGTGAAAATGCATAAAATGAAGTTGGCATATATTAATATTGTAATGCCCATAAACTGTCATACAGACTGCAGTGGTTAAATGGATTAGCATCACTAGTTATGAGGAGTATAAAATGACTGATTATGATTAGAACTATTTTTAACTTAGACAATTATAATTGTTTAGGTAGTTTAAGCATTATGAATTGATATACATAAAAGCTGCTTATAATGAAAGTATATACTGATAAGGCCCAAAAGTAATTTTTCAATACATATTGAGAAAATAAAAACCATTCATAACCCTTGGGGAGATAGTTATATACTAAGAAAGTAATTCTGAGAAAAGATTTATGTATGAATTTGCAAAATTGCCTCAGAGCAGTATTGATAAGTACAATATAGAAAAGTTTAAAGTAATTTAAACATAAGTTACAAAATGTTCTCATGATCAAATATATATATAATGTATTCTTATATATAAGAAAATATAAACAAAAGACAAGACTAAAAGTAAAAGAAGATAGGCTAGAAGCACATAAATATTGCAAAAAAATTTCAATGTTACAGTATATTGTATGCATTTTTCTGCAATAAACATTTAATACTTTGAACTTAGAGAAATTTTAATAACAAAATTAAGGAAACAGATAACAGAAGCAATATATCATTTATAAAAACATATAGCAATTAAAACAAATTATTAATGCTTTATATGATTGTAGCAGAAACAGGAAGAAGAGAGAAACTCAATTTACACACAAGACTCACCCACACACCCACACATCCCAAATACTGGTATAACAAATTTAATTCATTATAAATCATCTATAATTTAAAAATAGCATTAATTTTACAGAATTGAATGCTGTCACCATAGCCAGAGTTTTAAGCTAATTATATTAGCTTTACTTTCAGCACCTGAAATCTTATGGGCATCCAAATCCAATAATAACTGAATGATTAATAAAGTTGGTATTTCTCCATCATATAAAGTATTTATTTAAAATTAATAATGACTATATGTAAAAAGAGTTATTATATCTTGCATATTATATATATTGAAAACATAAGAAGAAAAAACAAAAAATATCACAAGTGATTTTTGTTAGAAAGAATATTAGAGCATTTGTAAATCTTTTATTAATATTTTATATTAATGAAAAATCTTTGTTTAAAACTGCTTACCACTTGCACCCTAGATGGTCTCTCTTCACAGAGAACAGATCCTGGAACTTTTATTTCTGGTTTTGGAAGATCAGGTGGCAGAGAAATTATGTAGTGACACATTTTAGCCACACTCTTGCACTAGGAAAAGAAACAAAGAAAAAGATACACAATACATCAACTTTTACTTCAGTGCTAATATGGACTTTACATAATTTTCATTAAAACAAGTATGTATCAAGAAGAAACTTCAAGATTCATAGACTGGAAAAGATTTTCATTTATTTAACAAGTTTTGGTAGAGTGAGTCAAATGCATAGTTTCAAAATAAAAACTAGTTTAAATTTCTTTGCTAATCTCAGTCATGGTATGGGCTATAAGCAGGTGAGTAGAATGGCTAAAAATAGATTATGACTGTTGAATTGTTTTGAAGTAACATTTTCACGGAAGAATGGTCCTCATAAGTGCATATATTTGAATGCTTGTTCCTCAGTTAATTGAACTGTTTTAGAAGGATTAGGTGTGGATTTGTTGGAAGAAGTGTGTCACTAGGCGTGAGCTTTGGGATTTCAACATCTCACACCATTACCAGTTAACTCTCCTGGGTCTCTGTCTCTCTTTCTGTCTCTCGGTTTCTGTCTCTGCTCGCTCGCTCTCTCTCTCTCTCTCTCTCTCTCTCTCTCTCTCTCTCTCTCTCTCTCTCTCTCTCTCTCTCTCTCTCTCTCTCGTTCTGTCTCATGCTTGTAGATCAGCATGTATGGTTCTGGCTACTGCTCCACCATCATGCTTGCCTTCGTGCTGTCATTCTCTGCACCATCATGATGATGGACTCACTCTTTTAAACTGAAAGGTCCCAATAAACTGTTTCTTGTATAGGTTTCCTTGGTCATAGTGTCTTATCAAATATGCATATACTTATCCATTCACTACAGCTTGCTTTCAAAACACATTTCATATGAAGATTTTTAGTATACCATAAAAATATGTATTTTCAGGTACAATAATATCATTGTCTAAATATTCACTAAAGGAAAGTTTAATGCTGTAAATCTTAGTTTCAAGGTCATATAGTTCAAAGAAACAGATTATCAAATGTCAGTTATGAAAATGCCATTGTTGTGTTTTGAAAATGCAATGTTCCCCATAATTTCATGTGTTTGACCACTCACTCCTCCAGTTGACACTGCTTTTTAGAAGGATCTTGAACACACACACACACACACTAAGACAAAGACACAGACAGAGAGATCTCATATCACCTTCAACCCTATAAACAGATATAATTACTAATTCTTTAGACAAGAGTCTTGCTATGTAGTGCAAGTTGGCCTTTAACTCATAGTCCTCCTGTTGCAGAATACAGAGTGGTTGGATTACAGATGCTTACAACCAGCCTGACTTTGTAACTTTTTATATATATTCCTTTTTAACATTTCAGAATTGTTTTTATGTAAGTGATATAGGAAAACAGAGTGATTTAAATAGTTAAAAAAGAATTCCATATACTCAGTATATTCATGTTCATACCAAATATACATTTGTCCCTCATAATTACTTCAGTTTAGTACATACATTAATTAAAATGTAATTTGTAGATATCACAAATGTTATACCATTACATGGTTGGACTTTTAGTAAAACAGGGACTATTTAATTTGATTATTACCTTAAACAATATTTAGCCCAAACTTTTTGAGATGGGCTGTTACACTGATGTAAGGATACTGTGTCATAAAATTCAAAGTAAAAGTAAGGACCAAAATTTCAGTCTTTTTACATTTTTATTTCTAAACAGTGTTTGGAACATAGTGTATATTCATTAAAGTTTTTTTTTATTAATGAAAGCAAATGAGTTCTATCTTTCCAAGAGGGACTCAAGGATCTATTCAGCTCCTAATTTTTATATTTATTGTATATGTTTGTGAAAAAAATGTGTTAATTCAACTTGCAAATATTTGAAAAAATGGGAGAAATCTAAACATAACTTGTTTTTATGTTTTCTTCAGTGGGGATCATTTGTTATGTGTAAATTGCTTTTTTTGCATGCTTAACTAGACATCCTAAGCAACAAAATAAAACAAATAAGTAGGCATCCTGCTTTATTTGGAATTTAAAAATACTAAAATATATTATACAAGTTAGTAATTTTAGAAACTAAATTTAAAAAATGAAATAAAATTTTAGATACTTTCAGAACTAAAGATAAATTTTAAGAAATATAATTATTCACAAACCTTATACAATTATCTAATCTAACCTATCAAATGGCTAAGATAAAAAACACAAGTGACAGCTCATGCTGGAGAGGATATGGTGCAAGACTCCCCTCTTGCTGGTGGGAGTACATACTTGTTCAGCAACTTTGGAAATCAATCTGGTGGTTTCTCAGAAAAGTAGGAATTGGTCTACCTCAAGACCCAGCTATACCACTCCTGGGCATATACCTAAAGAATGCTCTACCATATCCTGGGGACACTTGCCCAAACATGTTCATAACAGCTTTATTTGTAATATCCAGAAACAGGAAACAACCTGGATGTCCCTCAAACAAAGAACAGATAAAGAAAATGTGGTACATTTACACATTGGAGTATTACTCAGCTGTTAAAAAAATGATATCATGAAATTTTCTGGCAAATGTATGGTACTAGAAAAGATCATCCTCAGTGAGGTAACCCAGACCCAAAAAGACAAACATGATATGTACCCACTTATAGGTGGATGTTAGCTATAAAATAAAGGATAATCATACTACAATCCACAAACCCAGAGAGGTTAGGTAACAAGGAGGGCCCAAAGGGGTACATGTGAATCTCACTGTGAAGGAGAAATAGAATAGACATTACAGCTGGATGGGGGAGTGGTTGAAAAGGGCAAGGGAACAGGAGGGATCAGGTGGGGGGAAGATGGAAGGAGAGAGTACTGTGAAAGACAACTGGAATCAGGGGCCATCTCTGGGATGAGCTAGAAACCTAGTGCAATGGAAACTCCCAGGAATCTATGGGAGTTACACTAGCCAAGACTCCTAACAAGGGAAGACATGGAGCATGAACCAGCTGTCTCCTGTAACCAGGCAAGACTTCCAGAAGAGGGATTGGGACCCCAACTCAACCACATAAACTTTGACTTTCAATTTGCCTTGCCTATAAGATATTTTGGGATAAAGGTGGTATGGAAATTATGGGAGTGGCCAATCAATGACTGGAGGGTGAGCCATTTTCAGATTCCCTATTATAGGATCCTCATTTCTTACTGAAACTGAATGTATAGTTACCCCTAAGAAAAATGGCAAGTTGTCTCCTTTCCCCTTACCTTTTTTCTTCTGCTTTATAATTTCCATTCCTTATGCCTCATTTAATCTTGCACTTTACAAAATTTATCTTTAAGAGAGACCTAAAACTTTTTTACTCTTGACAAGAAAACATGATATTTAACATTTTAATATCTTACTGGGACATTTTCACTTACACAAGAAATAAGTCTTAAAGCCAAATTACTTTCCAATATCAGCAAATAGCAAAAAAAAAAAAAAATTAAAGACTATTTGCCCTATTTCTATACTGGATACTATATTAGAAATAAAACTGCTATTTGGTGATTTCTATTGGCCCAAAACAATTGCTAAGCAATGGGAAAAAAATCTAAGTTTTTGAGCCTCTTACACTTCCTTGAAATTAATACTAGCTTGATTTAGAAAAGAGAAAAATCGAATTTTCTATTTGTTTCAACCACACATACATCTCAAGTAGTCTGTAAATTGTAAACTAAAAAAAGTATTTTTCTAAACAAAAATGACTGTATTATTAAAACGAATATAGGTTAAAATTTTATTTAGTCCCAAACAGTGTAATGCTGTGGGATGGTCTGTATGTCAAATGTGTTGCTGATTGGTCAATAAATAAATCACTGATTGGTCAGTGGCCAGGCAGGAAGTATAAGCGGGACAAGGAGGAGAAAAAACTGAGAAGTGGAAGGCTGAGTCGGAGAGACACCGCCAGCTGCCATGATGAGAAACAGCATGTAAAGATGCCGGTAAGCTATGAGCCATGTGGCAAGGTATAGATTAATAGAAATGGATTAATTTAACCTGTAAGAACAGTTAGCAAGAAGCCTGCCACGGCCATACAGTTTGTAACCAATATAAGTCTCTGTGTTTACTTGGTCGGGTCTGAGCGGCTGTGGGACTGGCGGGTGTCAGAGATTTATCCTGACTGTGGGCCAGGCAGGAAAACTCAAGCTACAGTGTAACTTTTATGAAGATGAATGCCACCATGACACTATTTGCTATAAATAATTTTCACATAACGTATTAACACTTGCTTACCTAGGTGACAACAAAATTCTATAAAAAAATGGTTACAGTCTTTGACAAAGGCAGTTTCACAAAAGAAAGTTATTAAGGAACAGACAGAAATATCAATAGAGAAATTAGTTTCAGTTTCAGAATGCAATGAGAAGACATTTTAGTATTCACCTTCACTATAGTTTTAGTTTTGCTCTTAATCCTAGACTATTTTCTAAAAAAAACTATATTAAAAATTAGTATTATCCAATTACATTTGTATGTCAAAAATTAAACCATAATATACTTTAAATATTCACCATATATAAATAATTATACAGAGTAGTAAATGAAGTAAAGTTATTTACTACACTAATATGATGAATAATAGAGTGAATCAGAAATATTTTAAAAAAATTTAAAAGTGTACTTACCACATCTATTATATCAGACTCATTTTCATGGCTAAGATCAGCCTACAAAAAAAAGTAAATTATTGTTTACTGTTGATGTAAAACTTATTTATTTAATGGAACAGAATAAACATCAATAGAACCTTATTTCCACTAATTCTTTCATTTCTTAAAGAAATGTATTCTTCTGAATCTAAGGAACAATCTGTAAATCTCCATCTTTTAACACAATGCATATTTTCCATTAACATTTATAGTGATTCCCATACAGTCTGACTGAATCTGACATTCTATATTTTTTATGTGTCATGAAAAATGTATTTCTTAGACCTATTTCTCAAATTCTTTGAATTATTTTTATTAACATTTTCCTTATGTCCCCTACACACCCAGACATTATATATTCTCTTAATGTTATCTTTAGAATAAAAGTTTTAACATTCATAGCAGACTGAAATATATTTAATCAATACACATTTCATTTTCCAATAGGACAATGACCTTAAAACCTTTATATTGAAATTTTTTCTTTTCCAAATTTTCTGTAATTGTGCTCTTCAACTGGCAATATTTACAAAGATAAACATTTTCATTTTTCTTCTAATCATAAATCTTTTAAAATTTTACTTAATTTTAAAATACATAAGTGTACTCTTGATATATATATATATATATATATATATATATCTTAATGATATTTTACACATGTATATGCCTGCACAATTATAACATAAAATAAAGAATATTTGTAGCAATGCAGAAAGTCCCCTTATGCTCCTCCCCAGACTATAGTCTGAGTAATAACCAGTTCTCTGAATTATCTCATAATTGTTTTTCTGTTTGGTATTTCATATAAATGAAATCATATTATATATACACACACATATATATATACACATATATATTCCTTTTTTCTCTGGCTTACTCATAATATCTATAGGAAGCATTTAGGTTGCTGAACACTTAAATTAATTTTACACTATACAATCTTTCCCACTTTCTTGGATTTAATATTTCGGTATTCTTATATTTAGATTGTAACTCTTGAAGTCATTTAGATTCATTTTCATCCAGCTGTAAAGTCTTTTTCTTTTAAATTAAGTACTAAGATATTTAAATTAAATGTAATTTTCTCATTTATATAATTTAGAGAATTTTCTCTTTTTACATATATTGTTTGTTTGTTCATTTTCCATGAATGTGCTTACTAAATCCTTATATCATTCAATTTCCACTAGGTATTTCTCCTATACCATCTTTATCATTATTTTCATGGTGACCATGGAACAGACGTTTAAAGGGTGTGTTGGAAAAGCCTCAAGAGCTTTTCAAGGATTCATGAGGTCAAAATTATTTTCACAATACTATTAATTATTATAATATTATACATTAGGGGTTATTTCACTTGCATTTTTCATGAGTAGGTTACAAATGTGATACACAAGCAAACATGCATGTTCAGCATCTCCCATTAAATGAGAATTAAAGGTACTTGAAATTTATAAAACTAATAAACTTCTTCATTTTTGTGTTTTTATATGTTATTTATGCTAGCATGTAATAAATTCATTTTTATAATATCTAAATGAATTAATTCAAATAAACATTTTTAATGAGACATTATGTAGTGACACTTTTGTATAAATATCTTTTGACTCCAGAAAGACTGAACTTTTGGCACACCACACATTAAAGTTAATAATATGTGTTGAAATCATTTAAAATTGTACTTAACCTGATGTCCTACTCCATACTCAGGCTGTTTAAGATGTCTTTAAGAGAACTATGTAACCAATGTTATTATGCCTTGAATTTCCCATACAATCAATTTTTACAACCACACATATTCCTAAATTATATACTCTTCCATGCCCATGACTCAAGTAATGTTTGTGTATGTTGTGGTAATCATTTGCTAAAAGTAATCATCAGGGTGAAAGTAACCTTATACAACACATACCTACCACAAATGTTGAAAATAACATGCGGATATTGCTTGACAACGTCTGTTTTCAGTAGAGTGCTTTTGGGTCAGTTGGGGTCAGTAAAATGACTTTTTCCTTGTAAAACTGTTAAAAGATTTCTGTAAAGTATAACTCACTACTTCCCAATGCCATGTTTTTTGTGGTGTTTAATAATATAGAGCAAAGCCCTTTGTTAGGGGCAGGCAGAGATTCAAAGGCATAATAGACACATAGACACAACAAAGACAGATCAGACACACACAACAAGCTAGAAGACAGGCTAGGCCAGTAACCACAAACTATAGACAGATGGAAGACACTAGGAGAAGTGGAAAATTCAAATTTTGAATCTCTCTTGGTGAAATCATTCCAAGAATTTGTTTTGTTTTCATCCTTAATATCACATAGAAACATTCTCTGAGGTTATCTTTAATGGGTTAAGGGATGTGGTATAACATATATATAGTAAGGTAAACATATGGAATTTTACATATGGAACCACCCACACAGCAGTCACAGATCAAACATGTTTCCAGTATCTATGTGTCTTACTGTGGCTCTCTTCCAATACATAGCTTCTCTGTCAAAAGATGTATCATAGATAAACTTTTCTTGCTTTTGAACATTATGCAAATAGAGACTTTGTACATGTTTGTAAAATATGTGCTACATTGGCTTCTTTTATTCAGCATAATATGTGAAAATCTCGTATGTCACTGTGTGTAGCACTGGTTCATTTCTTATTGTTGTGTGCGAATATTCCCTAATTTAATTGCTCATTTTAGGTTTTGACATACATTCCTAAGCTTGAATATTAACATTATTTATAGCATTTTACTCATAAAAGACATACAATGCTGCATGTTTGGAACTCAATAAGTGGCATAGACTACCCTGGAATATGATATGTAGCAAATATTGGCCTCAAATTCTTCATTCTTCTGCATCAGCTTCCTGAGTGCTGGGATTAAAAGAATGCGTCCCAATACTCAATTTGTTGTCTTTTCATGCACAACAGTCTTAAGTGTTTTCTCATTAAGTATTTTAATATGTACTTAAGTCATCCTGTGAACACATACTTCAATAGTTAAAATTCCCTATTCTCATTAATAGTTGGTTAGTATTCAAATGCCTTTGTATGTGTTTTTATATTACTTATTTATATTTGTCAACTTATTTCCTGTCATTAATAATGGAAAAGGAGCTCACTTACAGTTTCTTTCATGTTCTATTATTTTAAATTGAAGAAATGAAAATTGTTCACTGACAGTTCTCCATGGTTATATCATATTTCTGTGTTTCTTGTGAGCACAGGGGCGACATTTTCTTGTGATGGTGTTTGAATTAATGTTAGTATAACAAACAGCCTTTTAAAACAAAGCCAGTTAATAGAATGGGAGAAAATCTGTCAGCTCTTCATCTGAAAGCTGATTAATATTCATAGTATGTAAAATTTCAAAAATCAAAACACAAAATAACCCTAAATGATCCAGTAAATAATTGAGCAAATGAACAGTTTTCAACAAAATGACCAATGGCTAACATACATATGAAAATTATTCAACATTCTTAGGAATTAAAGAATTGATTCAGTATCACCCCAGCCTAAATAGATACCATCAAGAAAACAAACAACAGATGGTAAGCCCCCTTTCCTGAAGATACCACTTACTTAGTTCATCAAACATGTAGAAGTTGATCTGGTACCCAACTAGAAGCTTCACCTCTACTGACTAGCATTCATAGTGCCAGCAAGTACTATACATGCTACCTGAGGAGAAAAGTAATCATCTGTCTCACCCAGACATGAACCTTGCCTATAATATTTAACAGCCTGAAATATATACTGGTATAATCAATAGTGGTACAAATGGGATTAACTAACCACTTTTTTTATTGGATTTAAGACCCACCCCACAAAACAAAACCCACACTTGACACTGTTAATGAGGTCAAGAACCTGAAATTGGATATATCATGGACCTAGGGGAAAATCTAATACTATTATTCTCATAAAGGAACATTGCAGCCAAGCAACTCCTGATGACATATTGTTATACACATAGATCATGTACTACTGAACCCCTCTTCAGAAAAGTTTCTTCTTGCAGTATATGGTAATTATTACAGAGACTCACAACTGGATAATGTACACAGACAGTGAGATACCTTGGTGCACTCATCAGTAAATGGGACACTCTTTATTGTCTCAGGGTTTCTATTGCTGCCAAGAAACACCATGACCACAAAAGCAAGTTGGGGAGAAAAGGGTTTATTTGGCTTACATGTCAACATTGATGTTCATCATTGAAGGAAATCAGTACAGGAATTCAAACTGGGCAGGGTGCTGGAGGCAGGAGCAGATGCAGAGGCCATGGAGGGGAGCTGCTTACTGGCTTGCTTCCCCTGGATTGCTCAGCCTGCTTTTTTATAGAACCTAGGACCACCAGCACAAGAATGACACCACCAACAATGGGCTGAGCCCTCCCCCACTGATCACTAATTCAGAAAATGCCTTACAACTGGATCTCATGGAGGAATTTTCTTAAGGCTCCCTCCTCTCTGATGACTTGACACAAAACCATCCAGTACATTTATCAGTATCCTCCCCTCAAGGCTCAGGGATCTATGTGGAACATGAAGCAGAAAGAGTCAGAGATCATGGGTGACTCCAAGGAAACAGTCCCATCTAATATGACTGATGCACATATGACCTCAGTAACTGTGGCAGCATATACAAAAATTTTGATCCTTTACATTTCCTCTCAGTATTCCTAATACTTATCTTCTTTTTAACCTTACTTTCTTTAACCTTGCTTCTTTCTTTTGAGACTTTATCTGCCAATTTCATTTTGTTCAATCATTTTTATTTTTACCTTAAATAATTTTAACGCCTTAGTTTTCTACACATGATTTCTGCAATTTTCTGTTCTATGGTCATTGGTTGGATTTAAATGATTTATGTATAATTCTAGGTCTGCTTTGTACTGATACTTCAGCTGTTAAGGCACATTTCCTCCTCCTTTCTGAGTAGTCATCAGGATTAATACTACAAGAGAAGGATGCTCATTAAGATACTAAGATAAAACAGAAATATCC